GGACATACATATCGTACAAATTGCACTGAGAAAGACCCTGATGCTGTGTCACCATTCATGCGAGAGATCTTTGAAATCAAAACAAATGCCGAGATTGATAATAACGTACCCATTAATAACAATAATAGCAATATACTCATCTATTGATTTACATATAATTTTCTGTAATACTGTAAATGTTTAATTTTCAAAGTAAAATATTTTTATGTTAACCAAGCTAGAATTTATCTATTATTTGTTTTATGAATTACTGATTAATTATTTATATGCCATTTAATTATCTCTTATGAAATATCCTAAAACTTGATGAAATGAAAAACAAATGAAATCTAAAATAGAGGTATTTTTGAAAATAAAATGATAAAGAGTTTATTAGTTTTATAAATTGATATTTAATTCAAGTAGGGATAATTATGAAATTATACTGTATATAGTAAAGTGTTTAATGAACAAATTGATTAAAACAATTATTGCTACTATATTTGGAAATAGTAAAAGTGATTTATACATTTATGTATAGTTATGTATAGTGAACTATTTATCTTAAACTTTTGATATTTGATAATCGATTTAATCAATCACATGACCAATATAAACACAATTAAATTATGCTTTTATGAATGTAATTATGAAAAATAAAATAATTTTTAGTCTTAATGATGAGACAACAAATGATTGAATCTATGAAAGTCTAACCGAAATGAAATGTCATTTCTATATAAGAATCATAGCTATTGTAGTATTTTTTTTATTTCTTACTAAATCACATATTTATACAATCAATAAGTTTGTATAATTTAAAGGACAGAATAAACAAAACACATGTTATAATAAATATGAGTAATAATTAAATATGGATTCAGGGACGTTTAGTCCGATGTAAATGTAATCACAAATGTTATGTTGTCTTAGAGACCATCAGATGTAATATTATTTCGTAAAATAAAAAATATATTCAAAATTCATTCACACATTGACTGCTGAGAAAATAAACTTATATTTAATTTCCTTAAAAGTTTCATATTTACAATAATTGCATTCAATTAAAAATTAATCAAGGTATTTGAGAACTATTCACAAATATGTCGCGTAGGATTTATAACAAAATATGTTTGATTTGTGGGGACAAAGCTCTTGGTATGAATAAAATTAATTTATCCATGTCATAACAAATGTTTGCTTAATTGATTACACTAATCATAATTGAAAACTTTCATAAATAAACTATATTTAGGCAATAATTTTGATGCCCTTTCGTGTGAGTCCTGTAAAGCATTCTTCCGGAGAAATGCCATCAAAACTAATGTAATTAATAAACTAATTATAACTAAATATTAAAACTAATAATCATACTTTAAGTTTCAATATTTTTCAAATGTATTAAAACTTTAATTACACTAATAGGTGGCAAAATGTAATTTCAATGATAACTGCAAAATTGATGTCTTCTCCAGAAGATTCTGTAAGACATGTCGACTCAGAAAGTGCTTTGAAGTGGGAATGAAAACGGTATCATATTTATCATTAAACTAATAGTAATTGTATTTCTTATTTACGATTACTTTTAATTGTCTAAAGGATTACATACTAACGAGTGAACAGAAACTCGAGCGAAAGAATCGTATAGATATGTACAGAATAAACATCAATACTGAGGAATCCAATGGAAACACTTCATCTGAGGTCACATCACCAGACAGTTCCCAATCCGATAATAATCTTCAAGTGTCATCTAATAGCATAGAATCGACAGATAATACCAGTTCACTGGATACAAGTCAATCATATAATACGGACACAAGTCTTGATATTCCGGACACTTTTGAGGACTTGGACCTCATTCTTGATTTAGACTTCAATGTCGAAGAAATTGATTTACAAGCGAATGAAATCGAGACTATTATTAATGGGGATGTCATACAACATGATAACAGCACTGCAAATAATACCATTGATGTCTTCACTGACTTTAACGACGACATATCAGAGCTGGTCTACCAAAAAGCCATTGAACACGAGTTCACAGTCATACCCATCTCCCGGCCCACCACTGACCACACCTACGTTTTCAATGAATTAGAGGGCTTTAAACTGACGGAGCTTTTCGGTGCCACAGAGATCTTCAGCGAAACTCTTTCGGTAGTGTCGGTGACATCGATGGCCAGGGATTACGCGGATTTGGTTCGTGTGCTGTCGTATAAAATCGATGAACAGGTGATGCGAGCCATACGGATGTCCAAGAAGTTGCAGACATTTAATAATATCTGCGAAACCGATCGCATCTCACTTCTGAAACAGGGGTCACTCGAGCTATACCTCATCCGATCCGTTGCCTACTATGACAGCGCCGAAGATCACTGGACCTATAATATGGTTAATATTTATAGCATATATAGTAGTGCTCATTAAATATTAAATATTAAAACAAATGGTTTCACTTAACAGGGAAACAATACATCAGTTATATTAAGTTTGGAGTTAATGCGAGTGTTTCCGCGAAATATTTACTCGTTTTATAAGAAATTCTTACACAATATATGCCGGGAATGGGAGTCCGATCTACTAGTCCTCGATTTGGTAATGTTTTAATAGAAATTGATTTGTATTTTAGATTAATCTCTGATTATAATGATGTGCTATACTTAGTTAACAGCAATCGTATTGTTCAATCCGGATCGGCCTAAACTGATCGACAAGGATTTGGTAAAGTAAGTGAAATGAGTAAAGTCATTTACAAGTGTTCATATTTTAAACTTATTGTTTTATATCATGTGTTTTACTCATAGACTCCATCAACACATTTACATGCATTTACTGCGACGATATCTACTCGTGAGGTATCGCTCGCACCCGGAATCCAACGTCAAGTTCTTAAGACTTTTGAATTGTTTGATTGATTTGACTGTTTTGGGTGATGTATACCGACTGAACTGTGCCGATAAGGACCCGGACACTATTCCTCCGTTTATGAGAGAAATGCTTAATATACGCACAAAGTGTGACATTGAACACAATGTTCACACAAATATACTCAGCTATTAGTTATTACTTCTTAATTATTACAATGTATAATTTATTAAAATATTTTATTTATAGTAATAAAATTATTAATTACTATAAGAACAATGGTTTGCTATTTAATGAACATTTAAATAATTATGATTGGTGGTAAAGTACTATTTATACTTTAATGAAGTAATTGCATTTCACATTTGTATTTTTAAAAATATTAAGTAAACCATTTTAAATGATCCGCAAATGTGATCGACAAATGTATGGTTATGTTTTAAATTTATAATAAATTAATTTCAATGACAATACTGTAGTCACTAGTGATTATCATTATATAACTTATAAATAGATATTGCTTATCATTTGTTTTTCAATGTTATTACTATTTGTGAAAATCAAAATGTGTTAAGTTATTGCAATAATTATCAAAATGTCTAAAAACATGATTGTGCTTGTTCATTATTTATTAAACACCTATTGTATTAACATAAAGAAGTCGTAATATGCCGGACCCTAGGGCTGAGAAAAAGTGTCTGATTTGTGGCGACAAAGCCATTGGTTTGTAATTGATTTATATATGTTTTTCTTAAATCCATACAATTTTCTATAATTATTATAAATCAAAAAATTTTGTTAAAAATATTAATAATTATAAAATATTTCCCCCGATATATAGGTAATAACTTCGACGCCCTATCGTGTGAATCATGTAAAGCCTTCTTCAGGAGGAATGCCATCAAATATAAGGTAATCCATAGATATTTTGTTGGGCAATAAAATATTAAAATATTATATATATACTGTATATATGACAGCAAATAAGGTGCCATTTTGGCGATAATTGTGTGATTAATATCTTAACCCGAAAATCTTGTCGTAAATGTCGACTCGAGAAATGTCTGGACGCGGGAATGAAACAAGTATTTGAAAACTTTGAATATGAACATTCACAATTTTATATTTACACACTATTATATTACACTTTTAATTATAAAAGGACTGGTTAATTCCAAACTATAAGCCAGCTAAGAAAATGAGCAAAAGTCATAAAATATATGAAAAGTCTTATAAAATGGACACAACTATTGAAAGTCCGAATGCCTCGTCCAGTGATAGGACATCACCGGACAGTTCCCACTTGAGTGACACAACTCCTAATAATAGCATTGAAATGCTCGACATTTTCGATGCATTAGATATGGACTTCAATGTCGAAGAATTCAATACAATATTGAAGGACATAGAGGAATGCATTTCAGTTGATAATCCAATAATTAACCATGATAACATGCCAGTACTCAATGATATTAACCCGGATCACATACCACAAGAGCATATGGTTGAACACATAGCTCGGCCTATCTTTGACCCCATGTTTTCACTGAATGAGTTGGAGGGCAACCGTTTGGCACAACTACTAAATGCGACCAATTTTTTCGCCGAGCCCTCGGCACCGGTAGCCTATAAGGCGAAAAACTTTGAGGAATTACGTCAAGTGTTGGTCTATAGGGTGGACCAACATGTGGAACGAGCGATGAAAATGTTGAAAGTGTTGGGCTCTGCGAAAGGTGTGGTGGAGTCCGACAGAGAGACTCTCATCAAACAGGGAGTACTCCATCTGTTTTGCATCCGATCCGTGCCTTTCTATGACTGCACTCAACACCAATGGACTTATAATTTGGTATTTGTTTTTGCAATTTATTGTGTATTTTGTAATATATTTTTATTTTGTAATTTAGGGGAACAACACATCAGTCGTAATCAGTTTGGAGTTAATGCGAGACTTTCCGCAAAATCTATATTTTAATTACAAAAACTTTTTGAATAATATATGCAACGAATGGGAATCCGATCCTTTGGTTCTCGATTTGGTATATATTTTTGTTTAATTTAATATTCACCATAAAAGTGACTAATTTTTAATATATTTAACACACTATGGCCTGTAGTTAACAGCGATCACCCTGTATAACCCAAAACGACCCCGACTTTTGTTTAAGGAGTTAGTTAGGTATGTGATTATTTTGAATTTTAAATTGTTAACTAAATAATCTTATATTATTTGTGATAAATAATCTTATGTCATTAAAATTTATTTAATGGTAGACTCGAGCAACAAATATACATGTATTTACTTAAACGCTATTTACAAATGAGATACAGTTGTCAAGTGGAGTCACAGCAAAAATATACAAAACTTATGAATTGTATGCAAGATTTGGATGCCTTGGGACAGAGTTATCGGACATATTGTACCAGAAAAGACCCTGATCAACTTTCACACCTTATGAGAACTATTCTTGGTAAACCACTGACCCAATCGGAAAATGAATTACATTTAATTGCAAATAATTTGCTACTGATTTAATATTTTATAAATTTTTGTATTCAAATATTTCATTTTGTTTTATAACAAAACAGTTTAATTCATTGTTTTTGAGATTGTTGTATATAATTAAATTATATTATCAAGTTTACTTTCTTAATAAATTGATAAATTATGTTTAGTAAATACGTGAATTGAGTCTCTATTGAAAGCAAGCAAACTCATCAACCAATAACTGCAAACTAATTATCAATCCATTTCAAAGTATTAATCAAATAAATGGTAAATTGATGTCATAATGCCTGTGTACTCAACTTGTCAAGGTTAGGGTTGTTAGATTTACCTTTTATGAAGTTTCATTTATCACTACTATTTGATGTAGTCTTAGAAACTTAGAAATAAATGCAGACATAAATACAGTATTATCTAAACATATACTTCACGTTTATTTTCTACTTAATTGTAGTAAATAATTTGCAAATAATTTACTTAATCAGTGATAATGTCTGACCAGAAAATAAAGGGGAAATGTTTAGTTTGTGGCGATAAAGCTCACGGTATGTATTGATTTGAATTCTGGGTTTTAAAATACAAATCATAGATTTCATATTCAATGAAATATCATAATATTATTTATATTATAAAGTTATAATCATTTATTTTTAATTTCAATGAATAATTTGTGTGTATTTAAGGCATGAATTTTAATGCCATGTCCTGTGAGTCGTGTAAATCATTCTTCAGGCGAACGGCTCTCAAGAATAAGGTATTGAATAGTATTTACAGAAAGTTATCATTTATAATACAATAATTAATTTTGAACATTAAAATAATGATGCGATTAGGAGTTGACGTGTGATTTCAAAAACCACTGCAAAATCGATGTCTACTCACGAAAGTGTTGTATGAAGTGTCGGCTCAAGAAGTGCTTTGACGTCGGAATGAGAAAAGTTGTCCACAATTTTGTTTGAATTAATATCTCTTTTAATATTAACTGTTTTATCATTGATTTACTGAAGGACTTGATTCTGTCGAGAGATACAAAGACTGAGAGAAAACTGAAAATAGAAATCAATAAAAATTACCGCAAAGACAGTGACAGCGGATCTAATGACACATCAGATACGACATCATCGCCAGAGAGTGGCCACCAGTCGAGCCAACCAAATGTTGGTACACTTGAAACGCCCGACAATTTTGATGACTTAGACTTAGACCTCGATATCGACGAAATCAATACACAAATCATGGAAATCGAGAAATTGATTGAAGAGGAAGACCACAGTATTTACAATAAGGCAGCGGAACAGGAGTTACCGCTACTGTCGATCGCCCGACCCTTCACTAATATATACAGTTTTAATGAGTTAGAGACCCATAAACTGACCGAGCTATTTAACGCCACATCCTTTTTCAACGATTCTACAGCACCTACATGTGTGGTCTCACAGGTACTGACTGATCGTGGGACGGGTCACGCTTTTATGAATAAATTTGAGCTACAGTTCCGCCAAATGATCAAAATGTCCAAAGCGTTGACCACATTCAACAGTATTAGTGAATCGGACAGAATCACCCTCATTAAAGAAGTGGCACTGGACCTGTTCAGTCTACGTGTCGTTCCCTATTATGACCCCGTTAGTCATTACTGGAGTTGTATCATGGTATTTATTAGATATGTATTTCCTAAATATTTGATTAACTCAAATGTAATGTAACGGCAGAATAACGAGAGTACAGTTATATTGGATTTGGGGTCAAAAAAGTTGAACCAAAACTTGTATTCGTTAGGACTGTTCCTGGACAAAATCAGTACAGAATTGGAAACCGATACTATTGTTTTAGACCTGGTAATAATTGATTGTCTTAAAAATAGAGTATTCATTATAATGTTTAATATTGATTTAACATTGTAGTTAACGGCAATAGTATTGTTTAATCCGGATAGACCTAAACTTGAACACAAACAGTTTGTTAAGTATGTCTAATTATTATGTAATATAAATTTGCTTTTATTCATATTTTAATATTAATGTTTTATGTTATAGATTACAACAGAATACTTATATGTATTTACTTCAGCGCTATTTAGCCGTCAGATATCAGTCGCAAACTGAATCCACTTTAAAATTCGTGAAACTTGTAAACTGTCTCAAAGATTTATATGCTCATAATGCTAAGTTAAAAATGAATATGACCTATAAAGACCCTGCTCATTTAACACCAGTCATGAGGGAGATATTAGACATTCAAGAGAAAAAGTTGGACAATAATGGTGATGGATCAGTTGACACAACAGTCATCACCAATAATATTATCGTTTATTAAATACTTATATTTAAATCATTTAAATATTAATACAATTAAACTTAATATCGAAATTGTATAATTGTGATATTACTTTGCTTTATATTTTATTTTACATTAACCATGAATATAAATAAATAAACTTTATTCAAGAACTTGTTTGAATAATACAATAATTGTTTACAATAAAATGTACCAGTATTATGTATTATTAATTTATAAATATATTTGAATATACCGGACAATTCTATTTATAAATGATAACCATATTACACCTAGTACACACGTTTTATTCAAAATAATTATAATTAAATTTTAGTAATTATTGTTACATTGTATGTGAGTATCATTTAGTGATGGCAATAATATAAAAACAATATTTATTTAATGAACAATTAATTAAACATATAATTTTGTGTCAACTAAAATTGAGTATAATCTAATTCCTAAAGTTTGTAATACTGTAGTATAATAGACCTGAAAGTTGTTGAAAGTTTTATAATAAATTTGAATTGAGCATCAAATTGAGTTGAAAGCACGCAAACTCACCATTTAATGATTGCATCGTATATTTGCAAACGACGGTAATTACTATTATAATAGTAACTACAGTAGTAAATGAAAAAGAAAAGTAAATGTCATAATAATGCTCAAGGTTAGTAGGAGGGACAGGTCCTTCAATTGACTTCATGTTAAATTTAGTTTATCACTGCTTTGTGATGTTGTCGTAGAGACTCAACAAATATATACATGTACAGTTTTAAATAAACATTATTCTGCATAAATTCATATTTACTTTCTAGTGTACTGATGTAATTATTAAGCAATTGACTGAAATTATTAAATACATTACAAACAATTCATTTAATCAGTGATAATGTCTGACCAGAAGTTTAAGCGAAAATGTTTGGTTTGTGACGATAAAGCTCTCGGTATGTATTGAATTGAATTCCGGTTTTTAAGTGCATATATCATGGCTTCGTATCCATGATTTTCATTGACTTTATTTTGTTGCCTATGAATATCACATATATTTTCTAAATTTATACTTTATATTTAATAATTAAACTTTAATTTCAATGAATTTTAGGCAAGAATTTTGATGCCCTGTCGTGTGAGTCGTGTAAAGCATTCTTCAGGCGTACGGCACTGAAAGAGACGGTATTTATCTGTTAATAGTTTTTACGAAAAACTTATCATTACTTTCAATGACTAATATAATGATGTAATTAGGAGTTTAAGTGCGAATTCAATGACAACTGCAAAATCGATGTCTACACCAGAAGATTCTGCATTAAGTGTCGGCTCCAGAAGTGCCTCGACATCGGCATGAAAAAAGTTAGTCCAGAATAT